GGGGCCCAGGTCCGTGTGGTATTGGGGGACCTGGGGACTGGGGCAGAGCCGGCGGGATGGGGACCCAGGGCAGAACCAGCGGCCACCACAGCGGTGTGCGTGAAGCTGCCACCTTGGAACGGGCAATGGCGGACTCCGCCACTTTGTGAGAACTGTGAGTGGACCCCGCCGCCTCGGGGGCACTGTGAGCGGACCCCGCCGCCTCGGGGGCACTGTGAGCGGACCCCGCCGCCTTGGGGGCACTGTGAGCGGACACCACCGCCTCGGGGCCACTGTGAGCGGACACCGCCGCCTTGGGGAAACTGTGAGCGGACACCGCCGCTTCTGGAGCATTGTGAGCGGACACTGCCGCCTCGGGGGCACTGTGAGCGGAAACCGCCGCCTCGAGGTAACTATGAGCGGACACCGCCGCTTCTGGAGCTTTGTGAGCGGACACCGCCCCCTCGGGTGCACTGTGACCGGACACCGCGGACACCGCCGCCTCGGGGGCACTGTGAGCGGACACCGCCGCTTCTGGAGCTTTGTGAGCGGGCACCGCCGCCTTGGGGGAACTATGGACGGACGCCGCCTCTTCTGGAGCTTTGTGAGTGGACACCGCCGCCTTGGGGGAACTGTGAGCGGACACTGCCGCCTCGGCGGAGCTGTGAGCGGAACCCGCCGCTTCTGGAGCTTCGTGAGCGGGCGCCGCCACCTCAAGGGGATCCTGAGCGGGAACATCCTCGGGGGAACTGTGAGCGGATAGCCCCGCTTCTGGAGCCTTGTGAGTGGACACCGCCGCCTCGGAGGAACTGTGAGCGGACACCGCCGCCTCGGGGGAACTGTGAGCAGACGCCGCCGCCTCGGGGGAACTGTGAGCGGACGCTGCCGCCTCGGGGGAACTGTGAGCGGGCGCCGCCACCTCAAGGGGATCCTGAGCGGGCACATCCACTTTCAGAACATTGTGAACAGACCCAGCCGCCTCGGGAGGATCGTGAGCGGGCAACGCCGCCTCGGGAAGATCGTGAGCGGGCACCGCGGCCTCGGGAGGATCGTGAGCGGGCACCGCCGCCTCGGAAGGATCGTGAGCGGGCACCGCCACCTCGGGAGGATTGTGAGTGGGCACCGCCGCTTCGAGAACATTGTGAGCGGGCCCCGCCGCCTCGGGAGAATCGTGAGCGGGCACCACCGCCTCGGGAGGATCGTGAGCGGGCACCGCCGCTTCGCCAAAGGGGCAATTGTCTTGTGGGCAGGGATGCGGCCCATTGGCAAGGGTATGGATCCTCGGTCGTCCGAGAGCTGGGTATAAAACAATCCCCATCGCCGCTGAGTCTTCAAATGGCTCGTTTGTACTGTCACGGTCTGTAAGAGGTGAAGACTCAAGTGCAGGCAGATGGGGTGTCTTTATTTATAACTCACAACAAACTAACAAAAAACACAACTGAAACCACCCCAAAGGGGAAAAAGCCAGAGTAACTTAAATGCTCACCACGAGACATAACCTGAGCACAGGGCAGCCACAAATCAAGGGCATGTACCGATACCTATGTGAGACAAACGAGCCCAGAACAGAAAACACAGGGAGCTTATAAGGAAGAGGCAATCAGGTAAACAGCTGGGACAAATTAATCAATGAATAAGGTAATGAGAGAACAGGTGAGTGGAGTGAAGGTAAAGGAGTCCGGGAGGATGGGAAATGGCGACCTCTGGTGGTGAGAGGGAGAAACACCAGACCCAGACCCCTGACACTTTCTATCTTAAAGGTGCATTCAGTATTTTGGTGCAAGTTTAAAAAGTTTTACACAATAAGAAACTGTGATTTTGTAACACAGTCATCTGAATGGTCTATGCTCCAGTCCAAACAGAATAATAAGAATGAAAAACAAAATTTAAAGTGGCTTTTATGATACACTTCAGGGTAGTTGCTAATAGAGGGCCTGGGACTGTGCACAGAAAAGGAGTCCTGCCATTGAGATGAATGGGACTGCAAAGGATAGATCTCTACAGGTACTATATTTGTCTTGGTTCAGACAAACAGTCATTCAGCAAGTTTACATGGACAACAATACTCCGATTTTAATAAGATTAAGACAATACTCTGATTAAGAATCTACCATGTAAACAGAGATTTTTGATTACCTTAATCCGGCTAAAGTCATAATCGAAGTAAACACTAATCGAATTAAGACGTGGAGTATTCCTATTTTAGTCGCATTTAGGACTTTTCGCTGGACTTTACGACAGGATACACACACGGCAGCGCTCAACCGTTTGACGGCAAATAAAAGAATGGCTTCAACAACGCCATCGTCTGTTTGCATGTATAGCATGACAAATAATTAACTGCACTTGAAGCTTTCAGTAAATTAAAAATGAAACACCCAAAACTGTATATGGCATCATAACGAAGACGAACTATATGTTTATACGTGAAATTCTGGAGGGGACGTCGGATGGTGTCACGTGGTGACGTAATGACGTGTGCCATTAATCGATCTATGTACTATAACATGTAAAACGGGAACATGAAAGGAATATTCTAAAAGCAACTCATGTAAACACCTTAATCGTAATATTGGCTTATTCAGAATAAGGTAAATAATTAGATTACTGATGTCCATGTAAACGTAGTCAGTGAGCCAGAAGCTGACATGTTGGACTAAGTAATGCTTTGAAAGCATCACAGTGTTTGCCCTACCAATGAATTAATTACAGATGTCACTGCACATTAACTAGTACAGCAAATACTTATGTTTATGAGTATGAATGTGTGTGCTCCCCCTACCCTCTCCTTGTAGTTGCATGGGGTCTAGCAGCTCCATCATGTAGTCGGTGTCAACCTGAAGTGTAGCTACATCACTACGCAGCAACACCCATGTCAGGCATGGCAGGAAGTCATCTGCCCCGAAAACTGTACCTAACATAAAACATTGAACATATTCAAATCTTCTACACCTTAATGACAGGTTTTTAGATGTTTTAAGTGCCTTGCATGCTTAAAATGTCATGGGTTCATGGGTATGCTCGGAATTGTTGGTATTCTGTACAGGACAAATTTCTGTATATACAGAACGGGGAGTACTGTATATAAACAGAGGACATACAAGTTAAAAATTCAAAGGAAGTGGAATGTGGAATGACTCACAGACTTGACATAATTTAATTTTTTAAATGTATGCATTTAGCAGACGCAAAGCGACTTACAGTGCATTCAGGCTGTACATTTTTTACCAGTATGTGTGTTCCCTGGGAATTTAACCCACGACCTTTTGCGCTGCTAACGCAATGCTCTACCACTGAGCCACAGGAACAGGATATCAGGATATCATATAACAGAATATCAACCATGAGAATCTGTATTACATCTCTACAGTACTACTTCACTCACCAGGCTTGGCATTAGCATTCATACTATGGTAGATATTCTTGCAGACTTTGAGCAGGGTGTCAACTTTTTTACTGGGTGAGTAGGCCTCATGCATTGTGGTCCAGCGTTGCTGGATCTTTTCCAAAATGCTGGAATCAGGTACCCCAGCCCCTGCTGCACCCTCCAGCTCCTCCAGGCTGCGGTTCTCCAGGGTGCTCTTGTTGACCTCTAAATGCTGCAGAGTGCAGTCATCCCTACGCGCTGTCTTTAGACACACGTAAAGGTGAGAGTAAACTGGCTTCAGAGCTACTTTATGTAAGGCAAGCTCCAGCACAGCATCTAAGGGCAGAGAGAAAAACAGATTTGTGAATGAATATAGTTTTAGTAGAGGTGAAAAAAGAATTACACATACATTCCATTCAAATACTCACCAATATCCATTTGTATATAACACAGTTTTTCCCTATACCTTTGTTTATATATATGTTTCATGTTATTGTCATGGGTTAAATCGTGTCTTAATTTAATGTATAGGTAGATGTGAAAAATTGTGTTATATAAAAATGAATATTGTCGAGCATTCGAATGAAATGCATATGTGTTTTTAGAGACTTAACATTGGCTACAGTACTGAATGATGTGGTCAATATAATTAATGACTTAAAAAGTGGGTGGAGGGACTGAATAATTGAACGCACTGAAGAAGGCCTTGAGCCGAAACGTTTGTGTTTTGTCCTGCTGGTGATAAATGTAAAATAAAACGTTTTGTGAGTGCGGATCATGGTTTCATAAATAATGAGTATAATTAAATAGATTGATGCACTAAAATAAAATATTAAGTGATGAATGAGCGTGGTGCAAATGGCTTTGTGGTAACACAACAACATGAAATTTAAATAGCTGAAGCGCTTGTGTTCACATACTTGTTAATTAAACTGTATGGTTCGGTTATTTCCCATTTTATGTCCCTGCACTTTCCTTCAAATAAGATTCTTATGAGAAACTAACTAATATACTAGCAAAAATGTTGCTAAGTGTGACCAGAGAAAGCCCACTGTGCGTTCACTGTGTAGCCCTACCTATGAAAATTGGAGCAATTAAATTGTTTTGTTGATAAAATACAATTACAGATGATCATTAATTTAATAATAATTTAATAATAATTATAATAATTTATGCATTTAGCAGACACTTTTATCCAAAGCAACTTACAGTGCATTCAGGCTATACATTTTTGTCCCTAGGAATCAAACCCACGACCTTTAGCACTGCTAATGCAATGCTCTACCACTGAGCCACAGGAACATAGATGATAATTTGATAAGACTGATAAGTTATTATAATATAGCGCGGCAATAACGTTATCCCCAACACATCTCCAGGTCATACCCAGCTCAAAATCTGGATTGTCTCCAATGCTGTCTGTGATGCTTTGGATCTCTGGACAATCAAACAGGGTTTCCTTCAGAGCAGTGAGAGACGAACGCACTTCCTGCAGCATCTCGGTGCAGGTCACTCCAGGACCGGCCTCACTTACAAGAGTTTGCTCTACAAATCCCCTGACAGCCTCTGCAAAAGCCCCTCCCTTCCGTTCCGCCATCTCCTGAACACGTTTACTCAGTCTTCGCTGTGGCGACATAAGTCCACCTAGAGCCTGACCCACTGCAGAGAGACGGTTCTTCATCTTATCTGCCAAGTGGAAGCGGGGCGAAGGTAGTGATGGGGAGGGGCTTAAAGCTGGTTCAGTCTCCTCCTCTATACTGCTGACTGACAGGGAGTCCAGCTCTAAGCCGGGCGGTTGAAGCAGAGAGGAAGGAAGTGATGAGTTCAGCCATATCTTGTCCTCTACCCACGATACACGATGTGGTGACTGAGGGAGAGGGCTTTGAATGGAGTCAACACTTGATCTTTTTAAGGGGTCCTCCTTGCTGGCGCCACTCGCCCTTCGAAGCACAACTCCACCTGGGGCAGCTGGAGAGTCTGGATTCTTCTCAAACGATCCTTTGAGAAGAAACAAAAGACACTTACATAACACTATCTAACTGAGATCTGCTTTTTTATCTGCCTTTTATCAGCAGATCCTGTTGCAGTATATAAACATTATGTGTTGGGTCCTTGAAATCAATGTTGTTATTGTTAACTAAAAGTATTTAAAATATAAATATTGGATGAAAAACTTAAGGCGAAACACCTCAGGTTAATGAGGTAAAAAATGAATGGAGATTACCACACTTCTCCAGTTAAATGATTTCGTAAAGAACTGCAAAAAAATGTTTTGATGTTGTTTATCAAGTTTTTTAAATGGTATGTTTAAATATTCAAATGAGACATTATCTAATTAAATATGCACTAATTTGCATACATTTGTAGAACAAAAATCTGAACATTGGATGAAGCCAGGTTCAAACTTCTTGTTTCATTTTGTTGACATTAAAGGTTTTTACAGAGGGGATTTTGGATTTCACTCCATAATTTAGAACATACTGTCAACAGCTAGGAAAAAAAACATTTTTTAGACAGGAATAAAACTGTAAGTTTGGTGTATATAAGTGGATATTTTTGAGTTAGTGCAGAAAGAATATAGCATTTTGAGACAACAGGCTTTAAAGACATACATTGTCGCTGAAATCTAAAGATGCAGATATGTAAGCGCTATAAAACAAACATTTAAAAGTGTATTTAGGATGTTTTCTTTCCACTAGACTGAAAAAAAAAAAAACTGAATGAAAAGCCAAAAAGCCCAAAATCTCTAAATTGACATGAAAAAAAAAAAACTATTTTTGTCTGTAGTGTCTCACCTTAAACTTAAAAAAACCTTAAAAGATAATTAGAAATGTACCTTGGAAACGTACTTAAACAAAATAAGTTGAAGTTGAAGTACTAAAATTACTAAAAAACGAAAACTGAAATAAATTTTAGCTAAATAGAAATATTTAAATTAAAAAATAAAAGCTAATACAAATGACAAAAACATAAATATACATGAAAATATTAAAATAAAAGATGATTACAATTATTAATAAATACTATAATATTATACAACTCAGTGGTTCCCAACCCTGGTCCTTGAGGCACCCCAACACTGCACATTTTGCGTGTCTCCTTTCTCTGCCACTCCAGTTTCAGGTCTTGGAGTCTCTACTAATGAGATGATGACCTGAATCAGGTGTGTTTGATTAAGGAGACATGCAAAACGTGCAGTGTTGGGGTGCCTCCAGGACCAGGGTTGGGAACCACTGCTATAAATAATACTAAAATAACACTGCTAGAACTGCAAAACTGTCAACCGCTACCTCTGTCATGGTCAAAACTGCTAGAGTTGTCGTCGGCTAGTGTAGATGACCTCTGTTTCAGTCCTCTCCCTACCCATGCTCTCGTGGTACTTAACCGGCTTTCTCGCCTCAACCTGATTGGAAGATTCATTTGGCTGGCTGAAGAATGAGCAAGCCAATCATCGCCGTGCTCTTGAAGGTACAAGGGATTGATAAAGCACATGGCACCACTGGCAGCTGTAACCTACCAACAGATAGAAATAATTTCAAGGTCTTGCCTCCCATACATAGAATATAGTCGCAAAGATGAAAAAGAATAGATTTCTAATGGATACATTGGTTAAGGTGGAACATTTCAATGCCCTTGTTCACAGCTACACAGGTTTGGATATTTTCTTACATTAAAGCACCATAAATTAATGTTTGGACATTGCACTCAAAATATACAGTTCTATAAGTCATTGTAGACAACATCCAAACAAAGTTTTATGCCTACCAACTGATTTGACGGATTACAATGCTTTTGATAACTCATTGTCAGTGTCTAGATGATACACATTAAATTTCATGTGAACCAGACAGTCCTTGTTAATAAGACAAATAAGGACCAAATAATATTAATTGATAACGTACTTAATTTAAGGTATAGTTTCTACTATAGAAAGTAGATGTAACGCGAAACAAGGACACTCTAAGATAAATGAGTAAGTTTCTCTAAAACAAGTTAAGTTTAATACTTAAACAAAACATGGGCAATAACCAGTATCTGTATAGGCAGTCTGCTTTCTGTTATACCCCAATTCAAATTCAGAAATTAGAATATAGAATTAGAATTACAAAGCACTCTCAGTTCTGAATGAAGCTGTTACATATACCACTTATTTAACACTGAACAAATATTATAAAATTGAAAACATCAGAGACGTATAGCAGAGATCACTGACTCAGAGAATCTGTATCACCTGTATAGTGCACATGACTGTTTTTGACGTTTCTGTTATGCCTTGTGTTTCTGGAGTCATACTGCTAACCAGCGGATCTGAAGAGGGACACAGCCAGGTCTCTGAAAATCAAACACACAAATCACTGGAATTCAGAGAGTCTGATTAGCACAACACGATGTGTTGTACAGAGACTGGTGAATGACAGGGCAAGTACTAACTTGGACCAAGCAGAGGAACAAGCTGATCTGGTAGATTGTTAAGTGTGTAAACCCAGGAGGGAACCAATAAACAGACAGGCAAAACATCCCTGAGAGAAAATTAAGCGCAGCAGATGTCAGATAATACACAAAACACATTATTTATATGATTTAGCATTATTTATATGGTTAGAATTATACACTCACACACTTACAAAAAGAGTAACCTAAAATGGTAACTTCAAAAGTAACTAATTTTAACCCTTTAAAGGGCAAGACCATAAAAAGACATCAGAAAATTAATTTATTGCTATTTTCCATCTTATTGGGACACAAATAATACAATTTCATGATTTTATTAAAAACTTGGTTCTTTTTTTTTATTTTAATGTTTGTATCCCCCAGGATACGTTACCATTTTGGGGTTATACATTCACTGAAAACAGAACACTTGTTTATCAATGCTTGTTTCAACATTTTAAACAAATGGTTGTAATTTCTGAACGCTTTGGAATACAGACCTAAGGTAGGTCTCTTTTTAAATATGACATAGCAGATTATTGCTGAATGGAAAGCATTAAAAAAAATTGTATAAAAAAGTTATAGAAAAAAAGTATAAAAAAGTTGTTTAAGTTTACAGTAAAGATAATGTAATATACTATTTCTTTATTTTATATAAAATAAATATTTTATCAAATATGTTGCACTCTAAAGTTGCTATAAATCAAAGCTATCAAAGTCATATGTCTAACCAATTTATGTTCCAAATTTGGAGTTGATATCACAAAAATTGTGGTTTTGTCACAAAACCATAAATAACCACTGGCTTACACCCAAAGTCTACTGATTTTTTTTTTATGCAGTTTTCTGTCACAAATCAATCCATTTCTGTCACAATATCACGTCTATTACAAAACAGTCACCACATATGGAATCTTAACTGTCAGACTTTTCCAACGATATGTGTGTTGTCAAGATTACAAAAAGATTTGATTTTCTAAAACTGTATCCCCTGAGATACAAACATTTAGAGACAGATTACAAAAAACGTAAGAATTGAATTCATAAAATTTCAATGTAAATCTAATAAGCTAATGCTGAACAACAGCTTTTATCGGAGGGTGAGTAGATTTCCCACTACAGGCGGCCATGCAGTTTTAAATGCTTCCTGTGAGCTAAACAAAGTATGTATGAACAAAGTCAATATATACATATTCACAACAAACACCCTTTCAACATGAAACCAAGAAATGAGACCTACACTTTCCCTGCCTCTCCCCACAGCCTCTCAAATGTTTGTATCCCCCAGGATAAGTCGCCAGTTAAAGGGTTAATTAAGTACAAAAAAAAATTATTTAACACCACTGACCCAACCTTAATACATTAATTTATCCCAACAATTACAGGTTGCCCCTTATTACAATGTAATCTTATGCCAAATTACTACTTTAGTGTAATGGAAACAAACAGATAATGAATTTTCTTTATCTGATTTTTTGTCCAACACTGAAGAAAAAAAAAAAAGGTAACCAAAAATTGTAACGTCTAAAATTGCTGGTTTTATTCAAGTCAAAAATCCTATTTAACATCACTGAACCAAAATATATACATGAATCTATACCAACAAAACAAATATGGGTAGAATCAGGTAGAAATAGCTCTTTAAGGTAATAATTGCAGGTTACCAGTTTTTTTACAGTGCATAGAAGATTTAATATAATTTACTATCTAACACAGGGGTGCACAGAGGTTCCTGTGATAACCTCCTGATATCAACAGATGTGCTTCCTTATCAATAGGTGCTAGATAAAAATATCTCATCCCCACCTGCTCAGTGTGTAGAAGTGCAGCAGTTGACAGAGATCAGGGAAAGCCAGGTGTGATGCCGTCAGGCAAAGAGCTATGAAAGGGGAAAAAAAGACAAGCGAAA